GGGCTTGACGAGCCGCTCAGCCCTGTGCTGATCGACCCGCGTAGTTCCAAATTGAAGGCTGATAGCCTGATATTCGATGTCAGAACAACGGCGTTGCGCGAAGGCGTCAGTAGCGATGAAGGAGCTCAGAATGTTGAGCGTAACAATAGGGAATGTATCGCTTTACAGGCTGCAACAATGCGATCACAACAATCGACCGGTCAGGATTTGGGGGCCAGCTGAGCTAAAAATACGGCGCTGTGCCGCTGCGGTCGAATGGCGTTCGAGTCTCGCCTGGCATTGCCGTCTGAGGCATGCCGGTGGCTTGCGATGGGGGCCAAGAACATCGTCATATCGTGTTGGGCACAACGACGGTCGCACGACGGATTACAGATTCGACGATGTTGGTGTTGAGCAGTTGGAGAAAGAAGGACCGGACTCGGAGCTTGAGGAAGCTCCTCTGGTCGGCCCCGCTAGTCGGATGACGCAGGGACATCACGTGGACATCCTTCTGGGCAGGCGCTGACGGTCGCAGCAAACCTTCTGAGGCGACAACAACACCAGATCACCTAGCTAGGCTGTGCGACGACACGAACTATGCGCAATACATCGACAACGGCTGTTAGTTCTCTGAGGATCGTCAGGGACTAAATGGTCGCACCACCGTTTGCACCACAGACACGCACGCACCTGGCGACACGTGGTGTTGTACACGGACTACGTTCTCAAAGGAATCAGAATATGCTCAATTGGCTAGCCAAGATGACTGTCGTACGTTGCAGGCTTTACTTCGGCCGTCTGCACAAATGGCTCATCTTACTCAACATTACCTCTTGCGCATCTGCAGCATCGGTCCCTTCCTGCCGGCCACGAAGATGTCGTAAATCTGGTATTGATCCTCCGTCTGTCGCCCAGGCTTTCCATTTCGGTTGCCCCCACCAAGTCTGTTCTCTGGATCAGGCCGAACTTCGTACATCCAGAGCGTCTTGGCGATGACAAGTCGCATCTCCAGCCAGGCAAGGTTCTTTCCAACGCAGCCCCTGGTTCCAAAGGAGAAGGCACAGAAACCGTTCTCCGCCAATGCCACACTCTCAGCCGAGGATCCTTCCTTTCCAGTCTCGTCTACGATCCAGCGCTCAGGGCGGAACTTGAAGGGCTCCGGGAAGACATTCTCGTTGTAGCTGAGACAGTAAAGACCGGTGCTGACGTGGAGACCAGCGGGGAAGTAGTGATCGCCGACAGTCGTTCCGCCAGGGAGCACCTCACGGCTAGGCTCTGCTGCAACTGGTGGTGTCATGCGCATAGCTTCTTGGAGAAACGCGGTGAGGTATTTGCAGGACATGATCTTGGTACCAGACTTGATCTCGTCATAGCTTGAGAAGACCGACTTGACCTCTTCAGCAATCTTAGCCTGTACCTCCGGTCGACGAGCCAGGTAGAAGAAGGCGGCAGACATTACGACAGATGTCGTATCGGAACCAGCGATAGTCAGCAACTCGCACTCAGCAAAGAGTTCGTGCTCGCTGTAACCACGCTTGCCAGTTTCGGGGTCGACAGCCTTGAAGAGCCAGTGAAAGAAGTCCTTTCGGACCTCACCCTCAGGCTTGGGATTCTTCTCCAATTCGTGTTCGACCGCAGACCGTTTCTCGAGGCATCCTTCAACGAAGTCCTGCCACTTCTTGACTACTGGCGGTGAGGCAACCTCCAGAAGCTTGTCGAGCCCACGAGGCTTCATCCATACCCAAGCGTTGGCTAACGGGCCGAATGCAATCTTTGGAATGTCAGCATGGTCGATCAATGATCTGATGCAGGGGACTAACTGGATGCAGAATTTCCATGAATTGAACCATGACTTCGGGGATGTGGCGGAGATCGCTTCCGGGCTCCTTCATGTCGAAGTTCTTACCGAAGCACAAGTCACCAAGGATATCGAAAACAAGCCAGTTCATCCAGTCACACATGTTGATAGAGGTCGTCCACTCGCCAGCCTTTGGCGCTTGTTGGCCAATCAGCTCCAGCCAACGATCGATGTTCGCGTGAAGGAAGACCTCAGCATCTCGCAGCGCCGCCTCTGAGAAAGCGTAGTTCAGCACACGACGCTTGCGTGAGTGGACCTCGACACTGGTGGTACTCCATGTGTTGATAGTGTGGACATTGCGTGGCCACACTTCGTAGTAGAGGCCTTTCTTAACATTTCCCTTTGGACCAAAGATCTTCTTGAAAGCAGCAGGCGTGTTGAGCACGACACTGTCTGGTCGATACCGGAACTCGGGCCCTAAATTCCGTTAGTAACTGACTGACTCTGGGGGATAAAATTAGGCCACCATACCATACTTCTCCTGTAGACTATACAGCCAGACGTGTCGGTCGCCAGTGCGAGTATGCCACCATGACGGAAATACGGTCAAGCGGGCCCAGAATGGCCCCGGGAACGCCGCGAGTGGATGGAAGTAGAGGCGATAGATTCCAGTTGCGATTACGTATATCGATACTACCAGAGCTGACAGGACGAGAAGCCCTGGGTATGACCCATTGCCTTGGATATCTTGAATTGCCATCATGCACCTGGCTTAATCAGAGGAAGAAGGAAGGTTTGACAGGAACCCGAAACCGAAATGCAGAGCGTGGGGCCTCTTTTACGCCTTTCCACATGCTCGCCGACTTTGCAAATCACACATGGTTGAACCTGTCCTGCTCCGCGGCATCTTGACACTCACGGCTCCCAAATTAGTGCCCGTTGATTGGTCTCCTAAGACCCTAGGTCGCTAACTAGCAGCCGGGGCACCTGTCAGAAACGACTCTGAAATGTGGAGTTTTGCTTCTCGGCTGGCCTAAGAAAGGACCGATGACGAGCCGCACCTCCCGCACCAGCTACCCATAACATATACTTTGACTATCAAACAGCTACTGGTGCTTACTGAGCAGCGCCACTATCACGATACATCATTGACTTTTTGTTTTGCTGATTGTAATAAGCTCGCATATCGCTTTGCTCGCATCCACGTGGAAGATGGCGCATGTGCCGGGCGCCCCCCGAATAAGTGGGCCACTCGCTAAGCCCCATGGGATATTCACTGCATTTGCCCTGGCTCTTGCAGGAACGCGAAAGTTGGAAGTAAGAATTAGAACATCAACCCTTCCTACCTCTGCTGTGCACCACAAAGCTAATATTAAATAATAACAAAAAGTAGACCTATACAAAGCAAGGCTGCGAAGAATTCTGCCTTTTTAGATTTTTATTAAAGTGCGTTGTTGTTGTGTTAGTAGGCCTGCCCTCCCTTAGCTTATTTCCCGCTTTCGCGTTCCTGCAAGAGCCTGGTCAGGTTTGAGACAATAACCTGACGGGGCTCGACAGGGTCTTTACTGCTTCTCGACTCGCTGTTGCACTACCAAAACTACCAAGACGACGGCGTGTGTCCCTCACGCTTCCACGGCACAGAGTAGCGTGTGAGGATGCTTCCGCTTCCGCGATCCTTGCCGTTGCCATGCATGGCGTATGATTGGCAAACGGTGATTGCCCTCCAACGAGAGCTTAGAACGTTTTGGTTCCCACGCCACCACAAAGCTTGCACACACGTTCGCGGCTTAAGGATCCTACCAGTGCCCTGCAATTCGTCATGGTAGGATTCCGGCAATGCACGACATACAAAATCCTAACGCCACAGAACAGACGCAGTGCGCGCACATCCGAGGAGCCGCAAGGCGCCTGATATCCTCATCGGTTATGTCCACCATCGATTGGTTCGTAATCCATTGCCGAAGCCTCATTTCTGACTCGCAACAGACGGCCAAGCTAAACCGTTTACGACTAAAACGACGGCCAGGCACATGCGCTCAACACCAGGAAGTGAGATGATCTGCTCGAGTCGGCCATTTAGGATAACGCACAGCTCGGAGTTTATCCTACCACGCCTACCCCGGAGGATTTTGATCGACGAGCGCAGTGATTCTCGGGTGAGCGGTTTGGGTACACACGCAGACGGCAGACTCGACCCCGCGGAGGAAACAGATAAACAAATACGTTCGTAATTTGCTTTTTCACAAGATGTAAAAATCTACCCCTCTCTTGCTAATCATATGTCTCAAGCCGCGACGCGCTTGCCGAACGAGAGGGTGTGCGATTTAGACGCAGAACGAAGTCTTGCATAATTGAAGTGGAGTGACTTCCCATTTCGTTCCCGCGGTAGCACGACGCCGTCTCCGTTGGGAGCGAGTGCCGGATCAACCCCCACCCACTCACATGTGACGACGAGGGACCCTCCAGGCCGACCAGGAACCCCTAACCTGTAACTGGCGATCCACTTCCCAGATGCTCCCCGTGTGTCAGTGCCTCGCTTCCTGACTTTATGCTTTGCCCAACAGCTCCAGCATGTCGGATTATTACTTCTCTCTGCCGGATGCTGCAATGGCCATTGGCTGATGCACAGCTAAAGAAGCAAGTAAACCGTCATGGGTTTGAAGGGTGGTGATTTACAGACCTAAAGGGGGTCCCGCGACCGGGAGCGGCGGTAGCGGTAGGTGGATTGGGAACATCTGGGGAGTTCTGGTCAGGGCGTCTGCATGGGATGTGAGGAAAGGTTTTTCTTTCCTTCTGGGCATCGCGTGCTTGTGCCGTGTTCTTCTTTCTGATATATCATGGGTGCGTGTCTCGCGTTTTCCATGTGAGAGTTTCGTGCATCACTGTCAACGCCACTGCGACGTCTTGTTTCTCGCTGTTTGTGATATACCTGGTGTATACGCCGTCGAGGATAGGAAAGAGAGTGTGTATATAATTTGTGCATCATGGCGCCTATCATCGATCCACAAGAGAGCGTGTAAGTTCGTTCGGGAGTGTCTACTCGCCCTTTCTTTGTCCTCTACCCTTTCCATACCCAGTCTCCGTGGTCCTCCGCGGTTTACCCAACCCATGTCTTATCACGACCAGAAAACAGTATCTTGGGTAACATGCAGCTGACATTCTCTCCAGCCAATCCTACCGCCGTCGTCTCGATGGAGTGGCGATATCGACTTATATCCTGATCATGCTGCTCGTCCCCCTCAAAGTCTACTGTCGGAAACGACACGGGGGATGGCGCAATGTTCAGATGGACGACTACATGTCCATGGTCGCACTGGCCGTGGCGAACGGTTTCTTCTATGTGTGCATAATAGGTACGTATCTTTCGTCCTTGGACACGAATCGTAGGCTAACACTCAGTGCTTGCAGGCATGCGAGAGTCACTGGGACTACACATCAATGAGATCACGAACCCGTTACAAATCATCGCTTTCTTACGGAATATCTACATCGGCCAAATCCTGTATACGCTCAGCATTACGAGTATCAAGCTATCAGTCTTGGCTTTCTACTGGCGGCTCTTCGAGATCAAGTCCCGCATTACCATTTACGTGGTCACCGCTGCGTCCATCGCATGGTGTATCGCTATTGTAAGCCACTCAACTCACCAGCACTAATACAGTAGGCTAACAGCTCCGTCTCACAGATGCTCTGCGTAATCTTCAACTGCCTCCCCGTGCGCGCCGCCTGGGACATAACCATCACGCAAAAGACCTGCATCGAAACACGCGACATCTACCTCGGCGGCTCCGTCCCCAACGTAATCCTCGACTTCTTCATCGTCATCATGCCCATCCCGCACGTCTGGCGTCTGCACGCGCCCCTCGCCCAACGCATAGTATTAGCCGGCATGTTCGCGCTCGGCACCTTCATCGCCGTCGTCTCGCTCGTGCGCCTGATCATCTTCCTGCAAATCCCCATCTCAGCCCAGGGCGACGTAACCTACAACTTCCGCGAGATCATCGTGTGGTCAATTGTTGAGATCAACATTGGTCTCACGTGTGCTTGTTTGCCTAGCTTGAAACCGGCTTTCCGTTGGATCGGCCTCGATAAATTGTTCTCTTTTGCTTCTTCGCGGCCGAGCGATATGAAGAGTCCGGGTCCGAGCTCGAATGGCGGACTGGATGGGTATATGCATGACTCGAAGAACTCGGGAGGGAGGCCGAGGAAGAAGGGTGCTACTGGCGGACTGTTTTCGACGCTCGCGGGTATGAGTCGGTTGGAAGATGAGGAGGAGTTTAAGTTCGTTGGGGAGGATACACAGGGGAAGCATAATGTGGAGATTGAGATGGGGAGGGTTAGCGATGATAGTGCGCAGAGGACTGCGACGGGAGGGATTAGTGTGCAGAAGAACTGGAGTGTGCTGGTTGATGAGAGGAGGGTGGGTCAGCACCGGTAGTCACAGGTGAAATACACGAGGAAGTGTTTTGTACAAAAAGAAAAGGTTGGATATACGGATACACTAATTACACGACGAATAACGATGTCATGTTATATACATTTTGTCATACCAACAAGCTACATTGAAACGCTCGTGTGTTGGGGATTCCAAGTTTGAGTGTTTGAGATCGTGCGATTGCCTGCAGTGGTGTTAAAGAAGAAAGAGATACAGCGAAGGACAATTGCACGAACGCAGTTCGTGCGGAAGAGCTGGCAGTCGCAGGCGCAAAGTATGGGGTATCACAGAACACTAATCCAAGACAGTTTCGAACCCAATCTCCAGCTCAACAGAACGGTACGCAGGACCGCATGGAAATCTCCTTGCCCTTTGTAAGATACCCAGGGTGCGTCGGTAGGTCATCTCGGATTCCTTGGATCCTCGGTCGATGCGCACCCTTCCGTCCATGGACATATCCTCGGGCAACTGGAAGATGAGGAAGCTGCAGTCGGCTTTGGTCTGATTGCATATGAGACCGAAGAAGTCTTCACATGTTGTTTCCTTTCCGGTGAACATCAAACTGCCGTAACACCAAGTTGGTCCAGGGCCGATTGGCTGGCCCGGTGGTTTGGTGCGATAAATCCGTAATTCAACTTTAAAGGGCGACGGCTCGGGTGAGTGCGCGCTAGTCCTGCGGGTCGGACATCCTATCTTGGTGCCCATCACCGAATCTTCAGACGTATCGGAGTCAAAATCTGTTTGGTTTTCTTCGGAACGTGCGCGTTGAGGAGCGGGTTCGTCTGCTGTTGTAGTCGTACCAGTGCTGCGTCTCTTCCTCACTGGTATTTTCTCGCTTAGGGCTACGAATTTGCAACCTTGAAACCAAGGCTTGTTATCGATATTTAGGTCTCTTTTCTTGTATGTCAGGGCTTTCATGTATGTCCTGTTTATGAAGGTCTCTATGTCGTGGCGAGTCTGCCTGCAGAGAACCATGCCCCGCAGGTGTTTCTTGAGGCTGGTTTCATTAGCTCGCACCCAGTACCTGGATGAGCGGACTTACGTGGTACTGTCTCTCGGATATATCAAATCAGCCGGATATCGGGTACCCTCTTGTGGTTTTCGGAGATGGTCTCTACTTCCTTGACCAGGCTCAGGCCAGATCAGGGGACCATACTCGACTAACAGCAGGTCTAGCTCTTTATCGAGGAGCATGGGATCGTGTCGATCGATGACAGTATTTGCATCGTGTGCATCGCGTAGTAGTAGACCAAGCAGAGCCGGTACCTCGAGTTCGTGGAGTGCAGTGGCGGGCTCATACCTGAACGTTGGTCTTCTCATAACGAAGCTCGGGTCAATCCTCTCCCTCCCATACGTCTGAAGTCCAAGACATTCTATATGATGAGCAACGCCGATATCGCCTTTTTGCCGCCCCATTGTCGGGTATAGTGGTGGTTTGATGGACAAAAAACCAATTGGCAATTGTGATGTACACCGCAGCTGGCGACGTCGGTGTTAAGCGGTGAGAGCTTGCGAATAGCTTCCGGACGTGGTGGTGATGGAGTGGGCAGCGGTTTAATGCAAGGCGCTTCCCATCTAGACTCCGGTCGAGACAGACGCGTCCTTGTTCCTTCGTTGTTTACTTGACGCGTCCTCAATTGGCAAGGAGGAGCTTTCGTCTTATTGCTGCTCACTGATACAACTCCCGCATTTCGATGTCGCGTGCTATATGTATCGCGACACGGTTGTTGACGTTAAAGTGGAAAGGGAGACGGGGTGTACCATGGCGGTGCTGCGACGGAGTTAAAATGCCATCCAGAATTGTGGGCCAATTAAAGCCCTGCACGGACGCGCTAGCGCGCGCAGCCGCATGGTGCAACAACAGACCGCCATCACCACCTACCAGTCGCTATCCGACATCTCGCCGGCATGCCACCCAAACACTCGGGCATGCCGCCCCAGCCCCAAAGAGCACGGAAGAGTGTGCGCACACCTGTGTCGAGGGCCCCGTCAACAAGCTGCAAGCGCGCCCGCGAGCCCAGTCTCGACAACAACAGCCCTCAGCCTGGTGACGCAATCCGGTTGCAAACACCCTCCAACTCAAATGAAATAAACACCAATTCCAAGGCGGCATCTCCAGAAAGCGATGCGCAGCCGGCACGTCGTAGCGCGTCGAGCGAACTGACTTCGCCAATGATGTCACCTAGGCTGCGTGCACTGCAGGCATCTATGGAAGAATCTCGAAACACCAGTCCTAAGAAAAACTCCATCTCGTATGGTTGCTTCAACTCGCAACCTCATCTGAAAGGTCATTTTTATTCGGCCAATCAGCTCTTTGCGCGGGGCGTCTGGATTGGCTACCTGGCTCCGGACAGGCAAACCCAATCATTCCGAGGGCTACCCTCCTTCCACGACTTGAAGGCCAATTACAAGAAGTTCAACCCTCCACACCCTCCTATAGTATCAGGGAGTCCTAGGGAGAATCGCAACGCTGTCTGCCGCGGCTGTGCTAGGGAAGACTCAGCTGTTATTGCCTTCAGTGAAGTGCAGTTCGGACCGAAGGTTGTGAGTTGTACCGAAATGCATACAGTCCATATCGTCCAGATTGTTGACAACATACAGAAGGTCGTTATTATGCCGCTCGATGGCGACGACGACGCTGGGGTTTTTGCCATCATGCTACCTCAGACGAGTGATAGGTCTTTACTGGGTCTTCAAGCCTATCGCCCCTACGAGGTAAGAATCACATTTACGACTGGTACATGGAAAACACACTGACCTCAGTCCCCTTCTGCAGATTAGTGGAGGTGGTTTGGGAGACAAGTTTACCAACAATTTCATGATGCTCACACTTCGAAATCCTGACAGCGATGCTGGCACATTAGAGACTGTGCTCTCGGTGTTGTCTCCGCAAGAGCGAGCTGACATCGCCTCGAAGTTCAGGGGACTACCGGAACCAAGACAGCGTCTCTCTTCTACCCCCAAGCTATCGAAATCTACTGATCAAGATGCTGCACATCCAGCATCGAATGCCGCACCCTCAGCATCGAACGCCATGGCAAAGGTCGATGACGATGAAAGCGATGCTCATACTAAGCAACCCGCCGCGAGGAAGCGGCGAAAGCTTAGCGAAAATAAGACGCAGATGTCGGACGCGATCGACGTTGTGCCCAAGGATAGCAATACATGCCCTTCACAGTTGCAACCACAACAACAACCGCCACTACAACAACAACCGACACCACAACCTGTACCTGAGCCACAGCCAGAGCCGGAACCTCAACCCCAACTCCAGCCACAGATACATACACAGACTCAACGAACGTCAGAAACACCTGTCGACGATGTCAAACAGCATGCTCCAACGCCCGCGGATACATTCAAACCTCCGCCTCAAGTCATCAAGCGCACAAACTCGACCAGCATCATCTCTCTTGATTTGACCGACGAACAAGCCGAGCGCGTGTATTTCATTTGGTCGGTCGACGATGAAGGCATGGAAATGGAGTTTTATCATACGCTACGCGAATGCAAGTCTTTCGGTGGCCTGCTCGGCCTGCTTGAGGAAGAGAGCGAGGACCTACCCTCTGTTGCGAGCATATTGGAGAAAACAAAAACCTGGAAACTGACATACGATCTTGGTGATGGTATCAGCAAAGCGATCGTAGCCCGCAAAGGCACGGAGACCGCATTCGATCGTCTACAGACTACACTTGCTCAAGCGTCTATCTGGGTAGACAATCCTCAAGCAAAAGTCGATATCGTGCTCAAGTCTTTGAGCCGTCCAAACCCTGCTTGAGCGACATGAACAACGGTCGTCGATAGTTCTCTTCCTAGAATTCCAGCCTCGGCGTTCTTCGAAGGTGTGCTCTTCCTCACTTTCTCCAGCATCTGTATACCATTGATTACATCGATGGCTTTTCTTGCGTTGTCCTACATATACCCCGATCATTTGTGATCTTTCGCGTGCGAGTTGGTCGAAAACATCGATACCAGGCTGGCGGTTGTATAGCATTGGTGCTCCATAAGGCTGGGCCGGATCCAGACAACCCATAAAATGTATATGTATGAATATTCATGACGATCCCTATAGGAACTCCTCTCGCACAGCTTCCAGAGCCTCTGTTTATGTGTGTACTGTGCTACAGCATATGCGAGGATGTAGTCATTTCCCATTGCCTATACACTAGCGAGGTCTGCGTGCCACTGCGCATCTGATGTCAGTCGCGCCAGTAAGTGGAAAAGTGAGTGCAGTCATATGACTAGAATCGGGCCACCAAACCTCACTGTCAGCAGCGGTGAGCTGCATTTCGCCACTCCGTAGACGAAGAACAATGTGCACAATGCCTTGTGTAAGTGATTGGGGGGGATCGTCGGCTAACGCGATATTTCAGCCAATCGGCAGCAACTGCCCTCTGGTTCCGCCTGCCATTCCCAGCCGGGCGCCGCTAACCCTGTAGACGAAAGCTTTCATACGCCGCTATGGTTTCTTCATCTGTACCTTATCATCTATCGTGTTCTCGATTCATCTTTAAGGATGTCGTTCGTTTCCCTTGCGCGCCCCATCACTGACTCGTGCATGCTCTAGACGGCCCTTTGGCGAAATTGCACGATCTGGCTGCCCCAGTCCTGAGAGCATCTGCATGTAATCATACCCGAGAAAATCAGCACTACACATCACGCCTCCCTTGCATAGTCGCGACACCACAACGCTCGGAACTCATACGACTGTCCACGGCTGCATCGCTAGCCTACATTTGATCCATCTGGCGAAATTTCGCGATCGATGCATCTAGCCCAGACACCATGGACGGCTCAGCTATCACATACGCAACGTCCAAGGACTGGTTGGACATTATGAAGAATCGATCAAAAGTGCGTATGCACGAGCTGATCGAGCGTCTTGGACTGCGCGCAAAGTGGTCATCGAACAAACGCGGTAAAACAAACTTTGAATCCGCCCTTGTGCGCGAGCTGGTTGCAGACATGGGCGACGTCGTCTCCACCTTACCGAAAGAGCCGGATGAGCTGATGAAGTTTTTGAGCGACGAGGGGAGTTTGAAAGAGCAAGTCGATGGCTTACTTGAGAAACATGGCGCCAAGGTCTGGGGAAGGGTGGGCGATCGTGAGCATCTAATCACCGCGAATGAACCCGGAGTCGAAGAGGGACTTTACCCGCGGGATCTTTACTTGGAGAACGAGGAAGACAGAGCATTGTAAGTATATAAGTTCGAGAGCACATTTGTCTTGAATTTGGGCCTTCGCCATGGTGCCGAATAGCTACTGACCCACCACGCAGAATTCACAAACTTCTCCATTGGTGGATCGGACTGAAGGCATGCAACGTCATTCTTGCGCGCGAACGCCTGGATCGCGAGAGACGAAAGAAGGCAGAAAACCGCCAGGCGCGAGCTGATGCCGAGTTTTCTGGCCAGCAAGAGGGCGGCACGCCAGCATCATTTGTTGCGCTTGCGCCAAACTCGGTGTTGCACGACGGCGATACACAGTCGCGTGGAAGCCCCATGTCGTCAAGTGCAATGCTCACACCTCCAGAATCTGGGGAAAGTCCCACTATGGGACCGCGGGAAGGAGGCGGGTTTACAGCTGTCAATGGCGGTGGACATGCGACGAATGGCAATGCCGCCTTTACATCGGCGAAAGCCCACGAACAACAGGCTACACAACAATCGAATATCGCCGAGGGTGTCTGGAACAAACTCACAGCTGAGGCAAACAAGTCTCGATATCTCAGTACGATGTCAGGCCCTGCTCCTACCCACGCTGCACATCCTACCGAGACCAAAGCAGCGGCACAACAGCAAATCACCGACGCGACCCAAGCGGCTGCTGATCGACAAGTCAGCGTCCAAATGGCCGCGCTGGTAGCAAGCTTTCGGTCGGATGACGGTGTGCCAGAAGAGCTCCCGCAACCAAACAATAGCATACCCTACCGTGGTTTAGACTACGACGGCTTACGGGCGCTACGGCAGTACATTTATGGAGAGGAGAGAGGTGTTTCAATGGACGAGGAAGCGCTCCTCAACCAACTCGAAAGAACATGGCGAGAAGGCGTTCGAGCCGACTACAACAAGATGATTGAGAACATTCCCGTTTTCATTGCGAGAGAACGAGCATTTCTGACTTGGGTGGAACTCAAGCGCCACCTGGCAGCTCTATTACGAGCAAACGAACGTACGTTTTACCAACTGCATTTGCATCCATTCTATCTATACTTACCCTACGGCAGGTTGGTCAGCCGAAGGCCACACAGCCGCCGAGATCGAGAGGCGCATCCAACAGCACCGCACGCTCATGGGCTGCACGCAAACCATCATCGCCAATTTTGAAGACGTGGGTCGAGGGTTTGGTCTCGGCCCCAACGTCGCTGTTGACCGCGATGAGCTACTGCGACAGGCCATCGTGGTATTGGCTGGCGAAAAGTACGCAGTAGAAATGCAATGGAAGCCAGTAGACTTTACGCAAGTAATGGGCTGGCTGCACGACCACTTGGAGAGCTTCCGCAAAGAAGAAGAGGAAGACGGAAAGGGTATGCTCTGGTATATTGGCGAGTCACGACGCTAGTCGCATTTACCACGATGGAGATACGCACGTATCGTGCGCGCGGGCAGCTGTAGTCGCAAAAACTGTGTACGAGGATCATACAGGCGTTCAGGTTTTCAGGGCGACGATCGATCGCCAGGGTCGAGGCCCCCACTAGTAGGTGTCCAATTCGGGAAAATAAGCTATTCGGGTAGGTCAGCCGTAGAGTGGTGGTTTCAGCTACTTGATCATGTTACAGGACCGTGTAGGATTACACTAGCTCAGCTGTGCCACACCTCATCACCATGCAGTACGGGACTCTGCGACGCGTGATTTGCTTTAGTTTGCGATCGCCTGGAACGCGCGAGCGCATAGTGAGGGCGCGACTGTACGCAACTTCGATAGTTCGGCAGCTAGTATCCGAATGAATACACGGCTCGGCAGCACTTCGCAGTATACCTTTTCGCTTAGTGTATTCCCTGCAGCCAAGGGGCGTTGTCTTCAGGCTCCGCACTGCGCCGTAAATCTCCCTAATGCCACGTTCCTATTTTAGAGTGCAGTGACCGCGCCGCACATTCGTCACATTGCCTCACATTTTTTTCTTTCGAGCTGTGGCGTTTATCAGATCTCGCTGTACCTCCCATCAATATTATGCGGCGCGCGGTCTGGACAGGAACCGGTCGCACAGTTGAGTAATCGCAGCCCGGTAGTACAAATCTATGGGTGAGGGACGAGCGCGTCATAGATGCATGTGTAGTTGTAACTCCTGACCATGATACCAACGACATCTATCCCCGGCTATACGAAACCGTGATAGTGCCGCTTATTCGCTGATTGCATGTGGCGGCTAATGGAGGCTTTGAGTAAGAGGATCGGATGTTTTGGCCTATGCGAGTAAGAGTTGTGCTGCTAGCGACATATTCATTTGTACCTCGTGTATGATGAAGACCCCTGCGATAGATATGATTAGCATAATGCAGCAAATGAGCACCACGCTCATAGTGCAAGTGTCGTACAATGAACAAGCAAGGGCAAAGGAGACCCGCTGGATGTGAACGAATGAGGATGGGGCGGTACTATGATTACACCTGATGGGGATTTATTGGCGTGCGAGTCATTAACTTCGGAGTGCGGACGCGTATTACCTCTGCACATGTTTTGTTGCGGCCCCTGCCGGATCATTGTCTCGCTACTGGACACACCTCTTTTCTGGGTATCTTTTCGACGCAGCGTACCGTCGTTCGCCTTCTACACGTCACCGGCATCAATCATCATCACCAATCCTTCTTTCGCCGCCCAACGCCCCCCTCATCAGCGCCTGTCGGTCCCTACTCCAGAGTAACAATTGCTGCGCAGTTTGTTCTTCTTGTGTGTACAGGGGCATTCAATTCTTTGTCTAGTTTGGTAGCACGATCGGCATCTGAGACTGGACAAAGTTTTTCTTGGGGTAGCAGCAGCTGGCAATAAGAAAACTTTGTTCCAAGACGGCCTAGTGGAACGTACTCCTTTTACCTTTGCCGAGCGAGCTACCATCAATCACCCCAACCTTGGAACGTCGAGCGGATCCATCACACTTTGGCGCACGCGCCATTGATTGTCATTCCCCATCCCATCCGCTTACTTTTCCATCGTCATTTTCCTACTTCCCATTTCAACTGTTGACGTGCCCGTCGTCACCCATGTGGCGCCATGAGCTCAAAGGATAACTTGGCCCTGGATCTGGAGCACGGCGTGCGACGCTGGGATCGCGCTCGCTGGATATCCGTCTTCAGCTCGCATAACCCGACTATACGCGAGGTGACGGAATGCTTGGGCCTGGGCTTATCGGCGTCTTCGTCCACGACCAACCGCGGCATTCCGAAATTCGACAATCCAGACTACCGCAAGCTCTCGAGTGAGGTGACGAAGCTGTCCAAGGAATTGCCAAAAGAAAGAGATTTGTTGCTGGATTTCGCGGCGGATCCGAGTTCCCTGAACCAGGAGCTCGAGGACCTGCTAGCGAGTTACGGACCCGCTATTTGGGGCAGGGATGCGGATCGCAGCTGTCTACTCACGCCGGATGCGACTAAGAAGACGTATAACAAAGATCTGTTTTACGAGGAGCCGGAGCATAAGGATATGTAAGTTGGGATGGTCAGGTGTCAGGTGTCAGAACGCGCGCTAAACCCGTTTTAGTCTCAAGATTCATCTGCATCGGTGGATCATCATCAAAGCTTGCTATTACATTCGCAACATGAAGTTGAAGAGACCATCGGGTGCGAATGAGTATGACCAGCTTGCCGATATTGATGCTGAAGGCCTGGTAAGTTTTGATGTCATGGTTGGTGTTGTCATGGCTAATAAACGGTAGTCACCACATGGGACGCCACAATCACTCACCCCACCAGATCCGGATACTGTTGCAGGCGCTGACCTTGATGTTAAACCCATTAACCTGAAGAAGCGCAAGAGCAATGCTCACCTCACCATGTCCGACGATGAAGATCCTGAGGCTTCACCCATCAAAAGGCCGTACAGCACTATGCCTGTGAGCCGAAAGGGCAGCCCAAGGAAGTCACTCAAGTCACTGTATCCTGCCGGCCCGGGCAGCATGGAGAACATACCTCCTATGCCTACGCACATGCATCGCTTTTCGCCAGCTCCATCTGAACCTGCACGGATACAGCTCAGTCCTCTGTCAAACAATGACTTGAACGGCGCGTCAAGACCTCCCGCCATCACCCAAAACTCCGCACCCGCAGGCTTCACGGCTGTCAACAATGGAGGATTTACTCCTGTTAACAATACGCCCCCACCTAGTGAGCCACCTAGAGAGCCAGCACGGGAAGCAACACGAGAGCCTTCAAGAGAAGTACATCGACCTCCGCCGGGTATTGGACATCGTCACAGCAACAGTTACACGAGCCCATATGAGCCTTCTTCACGCAGTGCTGCCATGGCTCGATCTGCTACGGAGACTCCTCGTTCTGCACCACCAGCTACTCCTACACCGGCTTCGAATCAAGGGTTCCAAGCAGTGAACGCATCTTCAGCAGCTAACGGGGCAGGTGCGCACATGAAGAGGGAGTCTCCTGCCGTTCAGCCTCCTCAGCATACGCATATCGCTCCGCAGCCACAGCAGTCGCAATCGCAACCGCAATCTCAGGCACAACCGCAGCAGCAACAGACATCGTCCCACCCTTCACACCCACATCAGGTATCACCGCATACACATCATTCTCAGCACACGCAGCTACCGTCACATCCGCACATTCAGGCTCAGCAACAGCCTCCACCCCAACCACCAAGTCGATCTAATACCCCGAGCCACCCCTTCGGCCGTTCTCTCGCACCACACCCTCGCAGTAGATCTAGTACACCACATGCGCAGGCCGCACCTAATCAGCCTATCATGGCACCTAATAAGCAGGTTACCTCTGCACCCGCGATACAAAGCGCCCCCGCATACGGCATACAACTCGTTCCTACTACACAAGACGCACCGCCCGCGCCCTCGAGCAAACCCCGAGCCCCCTCAAACCACAGCCAACCCGCCGCCGCACCCCAACACACCTCACCACACCAACCCGTGCTGAAAAGCCACCAACAACCGCCTCAACCCCCCGAAACCGCACACGTCGTCCAGCCCCCACAACCCCAAACCTTCCCCCGCGGCTCCGTCTCGACGACCGACCTCCGTCTTCTCCAATGCGAAGTCACCGCCGGCCTCTTCACCTTCTTCTACCCTCGCTCTACAATGCCGCCCGACGAAGCCAGCCTCCTCGTCCGCATGCACACACTCTGGTACCACGGCGAACCCCTCTTCCGCACCGAACTATCCACACACTACGATCTCGTTTCCAAGATCCTGACTGCATGGCTACACGAGCGTCAAGCCATTGCTTCACTACGGCACAGCATGGCTGCCAACCCCGGCGTGTCTCACATTGGCCTTGTAGACCGGTTGCTGGCTATGAACGATCTCAGGGCTATGCGGTTGAAATGGAAGAATATGAGTAGTATTGATGGACTGAGTCCTGAGGATCTGCTTTGCATGGCTTTTAGGGTTATGACGAATACGGAGGGGAGCGAGTATATGTTTAAAGATGGGTTGGCGAGGCTGGAGCTGGGCGTGTTTGAGTTTTTGAGGAGTGAGGATGCGAAGATTGTTATGCAGCGGAGGGATACGAGGGCGGGGTGATGTCAAGTCGGTTCAGTAGGGGGTTGAGGTGTTCCCCAACGGCTCTCTCCTTCTGCTCCTCCTTCCATCCTTTCGCATCGTCTGTTTCTTTGCTTCTGCGATCTGCTTCGGTTCTCGTACCCGTTCGCATGCGCATTTCTCTTTCTCGATTCCGATTTCGATCTTTCGCTTACCTTTGTACTAATGCCACTTAGCGTGGGTGGATGGGGTCCTTGCGCATGTTCCTCTCGTTTTCTGGCGTTGAACTTGCTTTTAAAACGTATTAGCGATGGCGTTTGGGACATTACCTCTTTCGTTCGAATTCTTTATTTTCCTTTTTTCTATCGTGTTCAATACGAAAAGCGGGTTGTGGGTTTCGATATTAGCTTGTGTTACTAAATTGGTATGAATAGTCGTTGTAATCGGGTGGTGGGATCGAGATTGGGTGTGTGGTAATGATTGTGCGATGCGGAGTAGCATAGTCGACTCGCATCGGAGAATGAAGCTTGTATTAATCAGTCACAAAATGGATATACCCAAGTTGTGAAAACGTTTTGTATGATGCTGTACCCGACGAGACTCCATCTCCCAATCGCGCAATGACCAGATGCGATCATCCATTGGCGGTCTGGACCTATGAGGTCGTCTGACCACACGTCCTCACGTGCACCCCTCCGACCCCGGCCTCAGCGCATCATCGCGAGTTCTCGCCCACCCATCCCGACTAAGACACAACGACACCCTCTTCACGCGGCCTCGCCCCTTGCGCCCCCCTTCAGCCTTGTCATGCGAACATAGCAGGGATTAAACCTGTCCCGCTGCGATGCGCCTTCCCGGCGGCCGCCCGCCGTAGCTGCTTCCGGAACCTTGTTCCTTCACATCTGCCTCATGACACCCTCCAGGCGCGCCAATCCGGGCACTCACCGGTAGTGCCCACGCACCTTCACTGCCATGAGCGGCCTCGTGAATGCCCCACGCGCTCGCTGCAGCCGCACACTATTTTATAGCCGTGTAGCGTGGACAGCATATGATTCCACACTCTATCGCTTATCCTGTATTACACGCGTAGTTTTGGCGCCATGGTGCTGAGACTCTTTGTGCCGCCTGGTATGTCTCGCCGAAGACGCTGTGGAGAAGTAGTTGCTAACTAGATGGTGTAGGCGAAGGGCAACACCGCCTTACTCCCAAACGGCCTGATCCCATCGGTGCGAATGCAACACCCCAGTACGCCGTCATCTCCTCGACCGTCCTTGCCGCCGCGTATACGTCCTTCGCCTCGAGATATGCACAAAGTGTGACTCCTACAAGGCCGATATCGAGGCCAGCGGTGTTCATACGGGCTTCGGCAAGGCTGGGGGTTTGGGCGGGCGTGGCAGGTGCGGCGCTGAACTGGTATTACTACTCTTCGTTTGCGGATGTCTTGGTGTCAACGAATGTACCGCAAGTCAAGCCCTGGAAGCTGTATGAGCGGACGAAGAAGTATACCGTTGACGATGGTGCTTTGGCAGGCGCGGCATTGGGGCTGGCTGTCTCGGTGCCTTCGCTGTTTATGCGCCGGCCTGCTATACCCAAGTGGACGCGCTGCTTAGGCATGACGAATATCGGCGCTTGCGCAGGTGTTCTGGGAGCGCATGCATACTTTCAGTACAGCGGAGAGAGGCAGGAGGCATACAAGCAGTTTGGTCGACATGTCAAGCGACGGTCTTTCGAGTTCTGGAGCATCTTCTGGGATCCGGAGCTCATGGCGAGCCTCGACCCCATCATGCAGCAATACGTCTCACACAACAGCCTCTGGTACACACGGTGGCTGTCAGAGGAGGCGTTTGAGCGAGCAGAACAGGACGTGCAACTCGAAAACAGCAGCAGTGAGCCCATGGCAGTTTCTGCAACACTTGTCGAGCAACAGCCGCCGTTCTACACTACACCCGTCGACTATGCCGAAGACCTGCGACGCATCGATATTGAAAGCACGCTGGCTACTATGGAAACCATGGAAGCGGACAAGAGGGAACTACTCCAGGAGGCCGAATACCTGCTTTACATAAACGCACAGCAAAAATACGACCACTGCCACATGGAGTCTACAGACGAGGACGACCGTCAAAACCTCCTCCGACAAATCCAGCTCGTCGACATAGCACACGTCAGTCTTCGCAACGCAGCCCACGACATCGACGTCAAGCTCACGCAATGGCGCATGTGCCTCCAACACAAAGCCATCTGGGAAGCAGGCCAAACCACAGCGACAGGGACGGATAGGCTTGCCGACTGGGTACCCGAGCCGCAATCCATATCACCCACGACCGAAGTCATAGTCCCCGCCACGCACAAACCGACATACTCAATAGGCGAATTAGAACGAATACATTGGCAGACATCTGCCGAGGTCAAGACATTTGAGGATGGTTGGAAAGATGATAGACACCCGAGGGATAAGAGGGAGAGGTGGAAGAAGGATGCCGAGGATGGGAGGAATCTATTGAGAGCGGCGGATGCTGTGTTGTTGAGGTTGCAGAAGGCGAGGGAGAGGGTTGAGGAAAGTGGCCGGGTCGTAGAAGCGGGGGTCGATAGCGCGATGGCGATGGAAGAGAAAGAACTAGAGGAGGAACGTGGGGCGAGAGATGGTATTGTTCCGGCAACAACGGCTGAGGTCGCGGAGTTACAAGAAGGTCCCTTGCTTACTAGGAAACAGGTTGAGAAGTCGAGCGCGCATGGAGTACAAGGGACGAAAGCGTCTACTGGGGCTTTGGATAAGGATAAGTCGTGAGAGTGGACTTGCTGAGGGTAGAGTTGAGACTATTCATTGTCCAAGTCATGGTTGAGAAGGTACCGAAGAAATCGTCCCAGAAGCGAGGACTCAACACGATCAACGCTCACATATGGGCTTGCTGTTTGTCAATGTACAGTATTGTTTTGCCCTTTTATTAAGGATCGGACGGACGCTGGGTGTCTCGTCAGGCGGATGTCTATGTATGTGGTGTAAGTCACTACCATTACTCATTCGTCCACCTCATCATGTTATTTGTCTGCCTCGAGGTCACTCTTACGTCTTCAGCATCCCTGAAGATCATTCTTCTCTTTTTCTACTGTGTCTTGCTCTGTGTCCTTGTCCACGTCCACTTCCATTTCCACAACTACACTGCTTACCTCCCTCTCGAACGTCGTGTCGCCGGATTTCCTAGAGTCAACATCCGTTCTCGCGATCTTGGCCGCGCTCGCGCAAGTGTCCACGTCGCTGCTCGGCTCGCCGGAGGGTCACGCTTCCGCTCCATATATCGCCACTGCAGTCGCCAAGCGGATGGCATGAGGAGGGTGGTTCCAGGGGCGACTACCTGGGTATATTCCTGGGCAGGATGGCGATAGTTGACATGACCTAGTTTTGGAGACGAAGATACTGGTACAAAAGACATCTGCATCGCGCGTTATGCTTTTACTTGGGCATCCTCATATCCACGAAAGCAATGCACGACTTCAGCCTCGTCTTCGGCCCTTCACCTTAGCCACTGGGAATTTACAGTACCGCAAAAGTCTACATATTAGTACCGGCTCTAACCACGTTTGAACCTAGTGCTAGCGTAAGCTGCACTGTCCATCTTGTCTCCAGCCCTATCCACGCCTGCTATTGCGTGTCGATCGAGATACCAGCCTTGATTGCACCGGCGATTTGGTTCGGAACTTTTGATTCACATCGCAATTTGACATTCCCCCATCACCCATCATCACGATGACCGGCAGTTACCTCGACTACCGTGAGATCAGCGCAATCTGTCAGCTTGAAACATGGACAGCTCAGCTCGAACCTTCCATGGACGTACTCATGTTTCTCCTGTCAAACATCTCTAGCTAGACCCGCGTACCTGCGCTGCATCATGAGAGCAGGAATACGGAACCAGCTAGCTGTGTGAAGCTAGCATGCGGATTAACTGCGGCTTTACAACTCAAGGGAGAACCACTGTTAATACCAAACCGCGCGGACTAGACCTCGGGTTATTACTCATGCGACGTGTGCGTGCACTGCCTGTGGCCCTGAGTTGGAATCGTCTTGGCTGCGGTTTGCGGTTGATATATATATGCTTGCGTCCCGTTGCGCAAGGCTGGCTATCTTCGGGATAACACACTACACGTTCGTTAAAGCAACAAACATGAAACTCTTCGCCCCCATCATCCTCGCTCTCGCCGCCGCATCCGAAGCCGCGTTTTGTAACGGCGGATGGGGTTTACCGGGTGGTTCTACATGCCCCGGTGCCTACGTAAGTCCAGTTCTAATCCAATCCAATCCCCTCCTAATCCTCTCCTTTCCCCTTCCCAAAGAAACACGTCCTTCGAAACAGTTGCTAACTATCTGCCAGCCAAACTCCTTCTGCGTAAGTCACCAACAGCACTGCAAGCGAAACCAGTTTCGGCCTCTAACATGACATGCGTGCAGTGTCAGAGCCCTGGAGCGCCGAGCAGGAACTTTCCTACGTTTAGGAATTGCGTTTACCCTGGCAGTGGGGGGAGGCCGAGTTTGAATGGGTGTGGTGCTGGTGGTGTAAGTACTCTGATCTTGGATGTTTTGGGGAGAAAGAGGCTAATTTTTGGGTGGGTAGACTATCAGCTGCGTAAGTTGTGGATCGAGGGTCGAGAGTAATGGTGTGCTAATAGTTGTATTGCGGTTGATTTCATCGCTCGACGTGACCGATCATCGTCAATTTGTTCTCGCGATTTACCATCCCGGATTTGCTGCTCGAGCAGACACACAATTAGACATCAGACTTCACCTATTCAATAGATTGCGCCGTGTTACTTCTTTGCAATATACATACCTTCCGGTTCTGAGCTGGGTGGACTCCTGTGTGAGAGTGTTTTGTAGGCCGATGTGCTGACCACAGTCAACGTCTTCTTCAAAATCACGTCGAGAGGAGACCATGTCCCTGTCGATGATCATACCGTCTGGTATCTCCATAGCTGGCTCCGCATTCAGCGCGTATAGAAGCCTCGGTTCAGGCCCTCTATTTCTCTTCCTTATACCATTACCTTCCTGTCTATTTTACCAAAACCATCACAAGAGATGCACATGTCCTCTCTGTTCTTTCCAAAAACTCACTCGAATTGCGCATGCCATCTTTTCCAAGTTCCAAACACTACATCGATGGATGGCTCCGAAAGTATCGACATCGGTTCCATGACTATGTCTTTCTCCCGATCTTCTGTCATACCGACTAGCTTGACGTTCAGTGGGTATAAAACCACTCATTCCGGCTCCTTACTTCTCTTTCCTACACTCTTGACTCCATGTTTTCAAAACTAAAAGTAATCTCAACGATACTGTATGTCTCCTCTGTTCTTTCAAAACAACAGACATCAAAACACATGTCGTCTTTTCCAAAATCTGAGCCCAGGTCCGATGTCAAAATCGAAAATTACCGAAATGGAACACATGGTTGTGTGTGCGTCCAAAAGACCATGGCAAGCAACGGATGCAACAAAATCTGCCTTCTCTTTTCGTATCAGGTCTTTGCTGTTGACTTTACCGCCTTTCCTCTCATCGACTAGCTTGATCTTTGGTGGGTATAAAACATTCTTATCGGTCCTCTTCCCTATACTTACAAATTTAATACCCTCGAAACCAAAAAGTGAGACAGAGGTCAACATGACTGTGTAGTTCTCGAAAGCCACTGTAAAGTCTGCCATGTCGTCTCTCGCCGTATCCTCGCTTTATACGACTGGAGCCCGAAAAAAGTCATTATTTCTGTTAATGTCCGGGCATTCTCCAAAAGAAAAATGCTATATCGTTATGTGTGAAACCGCATTTATCGTCTCATAACAACCCCATTACATTTACACTACTTCTAAACCACAAACGCGACCCAATACCCGATTACCCTCGTATCAATTCTATCATACACATCACACCCACTCCATCTCCCAGTCTTTCCACACACTCCACCTACTTCGCACAAATCTGTCCCTTAGCCGCAGCAAGGTTCTTCTGATTCTGCATCGTACCATCCATAACCTCCTGCACCAACATAGCAATGACCGGCGCATCCGCACCCGTCCCCTTCAGGCTCTGCACCTGGCCAATCTCCTTGGTCTGGGCTCCAGCAACAATAGCCAGGCCATCAGCAGCAGGCGACTTGATCTGCGCGGCGAGCTTCTGGTTGTTGGCGCGGATGTCGACGCCCCGCTTTTGGATGGATAGCACGGATTGCTGGGTCGTGTTGAAGCCCGCGGTGCCGGCTTGGAGCTTTAGGGCGTAGACGCTGGGGGAATGTTAGTTGTGGGTGTGGGGAGATGGGGAGAGGGGGAAAGACGGACCCTTTGAGTTCGGCGGCTTGGATGTCGAGGTTGGCCTGTATGCCCTTTGCGAGCTTGGATTGGATGTCGGCGCAGTTGCCGCCAGCTCCTTGGCCAGCTTGAGGAGCTTGGCCAGCCTGAGGAGCCTGAGGAGCTTGAGGAGCCTGGGGAGCTTGACCAGCCTGGGGAGCTTGACCAGCCTGGGGAGCTTGACGCGCTTGAACGACCTGAGAAGGGCAAGGTGCCTGGGGTGCCGGTGCAGCAAGAGCGGCACCGAGGAGGCAGAGGATGGCGAAGGTCTTCATGTTGAGGTATGTATATAGCGAAAGAAGCAATCTAAAATATTAGAATAAAGATAGATGATATTCAAAGAATGTATGAAAACTAAAGCCAAGCTCACACCAGGTGAGTAGCGATCGAGTAGTAGGCGAAGTATGTGAGAGATGATTTGGAATGAATACTTCCATCCTTCGACATCCCATCCCTCTCTTATACCTCCATCTCACCTCTCCCGTCCCTCTCCAACACCACCCGCCCGACGCGTCGGCACGTCAGCAAACTCGGACCGACACAACTCTCATCACCTCGCCACGCAACGCTCTCACAACATGTACCTCAGCACCACCACCCTTCAACCTTATTACCTACCTTTTACCTACCCGCCGGAAACGGACCTTCTTCACATCTCTTCATCGCTACATCACAAAGGAGAACAATTAATGCGGAGTTGCCAACTCTTTCCTTCGATTCGCGCGGTGGATAAAAATTGGAGACGGCCGTGAGACGGGAAACGGGGGAGTCAGCGTCGCAGATCTGGAGTGGAAACAAATCGGGCCGTGGTGGGCCGGCGGATGGGGTGCACGAGGCTTGTGAAAGCTTGTCAGATGGCTGAGCGAAACGTTCGAGAAGGTGTTCGAGACGTGTTCGTGATGGGTTGACGTGTGCGGGATAGAGTTGGGGATGGTGAGGTGGAGTTTGAGGATGCGGGTGGGCGGCAGGAACGGGGCTAAGCTGCGTTGGGTTGGCGCGGGGTTTTGGGTGCGCTTACTTCGAGGCTGCTGCGTCTTCTTCTGCATCGCTACAACACCTAAGTGCTTTTCAAAATTATCGAAACGCAGATGAAGATATCGCATGGTACTGCTCTTGGAATCCTCGGTCAACGCTACCATTCCCACGCGCATATTCTCTTTCCTCAAAATCATCATTGAACAGCCCATGGCGCTGCTGAGCTAGATCAGCCTCAGAGCTCAACTATCTACCTCAAACTAAAAAGACAAGACGCGAGTTTCATGTTCTGCTCTCTGTTATCCGATTCTCGCTGTATACTTGCGCACGGCATGCACTCTTACCATCTCCATGACGCTACTGCCGCGAGATCACTATAAAGCCGTCCTTCCATACTCCCCTCTACTTTTTTCTTACACCACATCTTCATGTTTGTTTCCAAAATGAGGAACCAAAAACACTATACCGGACTCTCGATGTGGAGATTTCTTCTTCTTCTTCTTTCTTAAAAAGTCAATCGATGACCTCATGAGAAGTCGCGTCCGACCTATTTTGCATACCGAAACTGGGCTGAGTACTATCGATGAGAGCGCCCGCGGACTCTGAAAATTGTAGAGCAACCAAAAGATAACGCGAGTACCTCCTATGAAGACTGTGTCTCTTTATCCAAAATTACTATCTTTTCCGAACATGAGAAGGCTCGCCTGATGACATTGCACATTAAAACCATGAGACTAAGTTCGGATGAGCGCGCTCGCGTACTCTGAGAAGCGCATGGAAACCAGAAAGCCACTCGGAGTACGAAGATGGCGCCTTCTTCTCCTTTCTCCAAAACTCGAAAGATTCCTGAGTATGAGAAGGCTCACCCGATCGACATTGCACACCAAAACGGAGAAATTACTGTCTGATGAGTGCGTTCGAAACTTTCGAAACGTGTAGAGAAACATGAAAACGTCTCTGCCCTGCACTATAGCGACTTCTTTTTCTTTCTTCAAAACACGAAAACCCAGTCAGTATGAGAAGGCTCTTGCAACCGACATTGCACACCAAAAATGCATTGGAAGAGGCCATGAGTGCGCCTGTGGACTTTGAAACGTGTTGACTACGTCTACATGTGGTCTCTTCCTCTTTCCTTCCTTCCAGGGTTAATCTCACTAAATCTATATTCATCATCTCCATGTCCGTCCAGCAGCCCAATCAACCAAAAGGCATACCCAGCCATGTTATGTGCAAAGCAACGACAGTTTGAGCTCATGTCTCAAAGACTCCAGGCGACTCTGGAATATCAAAATTCTATTCATGACGAAGCATGTGCCGTTTTCTCCTCTTTGCTTCAACTACAGGAAATAGCCTGGCATGGAGAGTGTTGCCACTATTGTGGGTGGATATATAAACCTCCTCTTCCTCTCTTCTTCTTCTTGGTATCTTCTCTACACTTGAGTATTTAGAATATCAAAACACCAAGAGGATCGCGCGATGACTGCGCCGTCTCTTCCAAAACAATCTCCAGTCACCACCCATGTGTCTGCCTCTCTTCCTCCTTCTGCCTCTTGGTACCTTCTTGGCATTTAAGCGTTTAAAATACCAAAAGGGAGGCGGTGGCGCACGATGGCTGCGCCGTCTTTTCAAAAAATTGCAACTGCAGCCGCTATGAGCAAGCGTCTGCCTCTCTTCCTTCCTCCACCCTTCAACGTCCTCGCCATACTTGAGTATTTAAAATGCCAGTTATCCCATAACATGGCTGCGCCGTCTTCTCCAAAAAACTACAAGACTTCTGCCTATGAGCCTGCCTTTCTTCCTCTTTTTCAACCGAACATCAAAACATCCATGTTACCTCCGCATGAAGAGAACTTCCTTCTCTGGGTATAAATTAAATACTCCTGAAATTAGAACATGAGGAGCATCTTCTCCACTGAGATGCAAGCTGCAAGAACAAAAAGACCAATTTGATCGAGTACATGTGTCTGTGGTCAGCACATACCTCAAAATACCAAAAGGAAGCCGCTCTGTTCGCATGTCCGATCCCAAAACCGAGCACTAATGTTTTGATGTCGTTGGCTGCGGCCGTCTCCGTCTCTTGCTTTTCAAAATACATCACCAACAACGCTCATGGTCCGAGAAGCAGTAGCGACACGGAGAGTATGAAGCTTTCTTTCAAGTCCAGTGCTACCATGTGCTTGTTCAAACCACCGGGATCACGAAGTTCGTGATCAAAACCTTTCGAGTTTGTCGCGATGACTGCCGGTGTGATGAGAAGTCTTCACACAAACTCAGATGTTGAGTATGTATGAGAACAAGCGCGCAAGCTGGATGTGATACGCAGTGATGATGATGATCATCACCACCTACTACTAGTGACGAAACAGCAACTGTATCAGCGTACCTCCCAATAAAATCATGTCATACACCAACCACATATCGTCATCGGAACGGCAGTGCAATTATACTTTTTATTATCAAGCGCATACTAAGCTACGAGAGACGCCATCCATCCATCCCAATTCCGAAGGAATAAGAAAAACTACAAGACCCTCCTCAAGCCTACCAGGAGGTCGCAGAGGGGATATCGTCGTGATGCTAATGTTACAGGTTTCCATTTTCCGCCTATCCGTACGCAGATCGTAAGGTCGTGAAGTGATGCGTATGGCAGTCATATCGAGGGAAGATATGATCGAACGCTACTTGTCGGTTATCATGAGGCGCTTACAACTCCTGCTTAGCAGAGCTGGCGCTAGCGGCGGCAGCATCGTATCCGCTCTGAGCAGACTTGGAGGCAACCGAAGAGGCGCTGGAGGCGGAGGAAGAGGCAGCCCCATTAGCGCTGGCAGCGGACTTGGAGATGGAGGAAGAGGACGAGGAAGCAGCCTTGGCAGCAGCGCCGCTGAGAGAGCTGGCGCTGGAAGCGGCGCGGACGGAAGCAGAGCTGGCGCTGGATCCAGCAGCGTCGGTAGCGGAGGTAACGCTGGCCTGAGCGAGACCGATCTGCTGCTTGATCAAGTCGGTGTAGTAGGCAAAGCCACCGGTGGCAGCAGCGTACTGTTGGCCGACGTTGGAAGTAGCGGCACCGTAAGCGGAAGCACCAGAGGCAGAGATAGATCCGGCAGAAGCAGAGGCGCTGTCGCCGTAGAGACGGGCGCGGTGCTTGCGGGCGAGAGCGAGAAGCTCGTTGCGCTTGGAGCCCTGGGGAACCTTGATACCGTTGCTGTCAGCCCACTCCTTGATCTGGCTGTCAGACCAGGAGTCGAGAAGGGCGTCGCTGAGGCTTTGCTGGGCGTTGGCAGCAGCGGAAGAGACGGAAGCGTAGGCGCTCTGGGACTGCTGGCTGGCAAGACGAGACTGGCGGCGGAGAGCAGCGATCATCGAGTCGCGGGTGTTGGGCTGGGGAACGTTGTAGCCGCGCTCATCGAACCAAGATTTGAGGTCAGAGTCAGACCAGGAAGCGTAGAGCCAGTCACCGGGGTAGTTGGCAGTCTCCTTGGCCTTCTCGGCGACAGACTGGTAGTTGTTACGGACGGCAGCGAGGAGAGAGTCACGCTGGCGGGGCTGGGGGACGGGAATGCCGTGCTTATCGGCGAAGGCCTTGAGCTGAGAGTCGGACCAACTGTAGGCTGTTAGTAATTGTGCTGAGGGCAGGTTCCTGGCTACTCACGAGTCGAAGATCCAGTCCTTGACACTACCATAGGCCTGGTTCGCGGAGTCCTCGGTCTCGGTCCAGTACACCTTGACCTGCTCAGCGAGGCTCTTGGCGTCCTTCTCGGTGCCCTTCTTCGCCTGCTGGCCCTTGAGGGTCAGGTAGTTCTGAAGGGTCTGCGCATCCCAGCTGGTGTAGGGAGTGACAACCTTGTCGTTCCAGTTGGCCTTGACAGTCGACTGGAGGTTCTTGCGGTCAGAGGGGCTGGGGTGAGGAACGCCGTGGTCGCTGAGCCAGCGCTCAAGCTCGGTCTCGTGCCACTTGTCGTAGACTGCTTCCTGGCGTCAGTATACTGCTGCATGACGCTGTGGATAAATCAAAACAAACGGGAGGGGTTATGTACTATACGCACCGGCGCTTCCAAACCAGCTGTTGGCCGTTGCCGTGGCAGCAAGGGACACCACGAAGGTGGATGTAAGGGAGAACCTCATGATGTGTGGCTGCCGATGTGAGGATGTGCTTGATATGGATTAATGAAGCAAAGACGAGGGTTTGAAGGGTAGGCAAACTCGACAGAGGTGTGAGGGCTAGAGGGTAGTGGTGGGCAGCGAGTTTATGAGGGGAGGGAACAGACAATGGCGGGTAGATTGTGTGCGTGCGAGTGACGTA